GAGACTCTGTCTCAAAAAAAAAAAAAAAAAAAAAAGAAGAGGATGTTATGGACAAAGAACCATAGAATAAAAAAAAGAGGTCTCGGAAATTAAAAATATACATGCTAAAATTTAAAAATTAAATATAGGGTTTAGAAAATAAAGCTAAGATAATATCCCATATACATAAGGAGAGAAAAGATGTCAGGCAGTGGGCCCAGCTGGTCTCACATCTAATTAATTGAAGTTTCAGGAGGAGAAATGGGAGAAAGAGGGAAGGAATTTATCAAAGAAATATACTACAGTCATTATGCAATTTTAGAACACAGGCATAAAGAGATGATAAAAGCTCCCTGAAATTTAAAATACACATACGACTATGGTTTGAATATTTGTCCCCTTCAAAACTCATGATAAAATTTAATCCCAATGTGGCAGTATGGAGAGGCGGGGCCTTTAAGAAGTGATTGGATCAGGAGGGTTCTGCCCTCATGTGTGGACTGACGCAGTCATGGATTAGTGGGTGATCATGGATGTGGGACTAGTGACTTTACAAGAAGAGCGACCTGAGCTCGCACACTCAGTCTCCTCACCGTATGGTGCCTGGACTGCTTTGGGACTCTGCGGAGAGTCGCCACCAGCAAGAAGGAACTCACCAGACATAGCCCCTCAACCTTGGACTTCTCGGCCTCCATAACTGTAAGAAATAAATTCCTTTTCTTTAAAAATTACCCAGTTTCGGGCATTCTGTTATAAGCAACAGAAAATAGACTAAGACACATACCAAAGAACTGGAACCAAAATGACATCAGATTTCTCACCCTACAAACGGCTGGATGCCAGAAGACAGGCTGGGGATAGAATTGCAGACTGGACAGCATTTCCCCTCAGAATTTTGAAGACATTGCACCATTGTCAGAGGACAAGATAAAGACTTTTATGATTTGCAAAAATGCAAAAATATTTATGCATGCTTTCTAAGGAAGTTGCTTTGAGGATATTCTCCTGCAAAATGAAAGAGTAAACACATTAAAAAAAAAAAAAAAGAAGAAGAAGAGCTCCCGGAAACAAAAGCTTCAACCTAGGTCCAAAGCGGAAGCAGGAGAATGGAGAGTCCCCAAAGGAATGACTTCAAGGAGGAAAAAGGCAGTACGCACTATAATGCGATTAAAGACATGTAGCAAAATGTTAAGAGCATGGGCCTGAGCGTGGAGTCAGACTGGATTTAACTCTGCCTTTGCCAGCGATCGGTCAGAATCGTGGGCAGCATTTACTTAAGCTGAGCCTGCGCTTCCTGGTCTGCGCCACGATGATGATACCAACACATACACTTCAAGGAGCGCTCAGGGTTCCATGAGGACGCGTGGAAGGCATCTAGAACA